TCATTGCTATGTCTAGTACTAAGCAACTAATATTTATCGAGCACTTATATGTGTTCAATCTTTGTAGTGCAGATAATAATAGAATTCTCGTGAGCTACAAACAAAACAATGCCTCATGTCCAGCCAACAGCAAGTTCCCAGAACACACTGGTGGAGACTGAATGGTGTCCTGGGAGCTGGCTGCCCTATTTTCCTCTCTCTCTCTCTCTCTCTCTCTCTCTCTTTCTCTCTGATAGTATCTCCCCCTTCCTTTTTCTCTCTCTGACAGTATCTCATGTAGCCGAGGCTGGCCTGGAATTCACTGTGTCGCCAAACTTCTAATCCCGCTGCCTTCATCTCCCCAGAGCTAAAATTACAGATCTGATTCGTGCCATGCTGGGGATCAAACCCAGGGCCTTGTGCATGCTGGGCAAGAACTCTACCAACCGAACTGCAGCTACGGCCCAAGACACACATTTTCTAAATCCCAGGAACCATGACTTGGTTGGCCAACTTGGGTTCTAGGGCTGTCTCTACGGTCATTTGGCAGTTGAGAGAAGAAACAAGATTAACATGTGAAAGAAACCAATGACACGAAAGTCTGGGGGCCAGAGAGCAGTGAAATGAAGGCTCTAACCAGGCAAGCCTGACACAGGAGTTTAATGCCCAGGCCCATGTGGAAGGAGAGAACCGACTCCCCAGACTTTTCTGACCTCATGTGTGTATTGTACCACATGCCCATACACATACATACATACACACAAAGGTAATGGTAATGATAATGATGATGGTGATAACGGTGATGATGATGATGATAAATGAAAATAAAAAATAAAAAATACCACCACCCCTACAGGCTATATGTAAGAGCAAACATGGGAGAAAAGCCCAGCATCCACAGATGAAGAGGAAGGCGGGTGCTGTTAAATAACCCATGAAGTCTCACAACTCCTGGCCCAGAGCCTTGGTGCGTCTCTGTCCCATTTGCACTGTTGTAAGTGCCCTCTTAATAAACTGTCTCTGTGGGGCTGGAGAGATGGTTCAGCAATTAAGAATACAAACTGCTCTTGTAGACCCAGATTTTTATTTCCCCAGCACTCCAACTCCAGGGGATCCAACACCTCTGAACTCTGTGGGCATCTGCATTCATGTGCATGTATCCACACACAGACATACACATAATTTAGAATAATAATTTTTAAAAATCTTTTATAAAACCTGTCTCTAATCTACCAGTATCCCTGCATGTGCTCCTGATCTAATTCTTTGTTCCAGGACACAAAAACCCTCCATGTCTGTTGACACCACCCATTTCAACTTCAGGAACGGAATGCTCATATCCACGTAAGTCCTTCGAGTGGTCCCCCACCAAGAGGAGCTAATAGCCCTCATCTGCTCCTGCAATCCCAGTGATGCAGTCCCCTTGGGTTTGGCTTTCTCCAGTGTCTACCCTGCTGGCCCTTTCCTGGCTGGAGCCTGTCAGGTGATTCAGCTTCATACCTGCCCCCATCTCTGTCCCTCTCCTCAGCCTGCTCTTCCCTGGGTCCACAAAACAAAGCTGCTTGTTAGGGACCCAGGGTGGGAATCCTTCCAAACTCGAACAATGAATTTCTGAACCGGGATAAAAATAGACTTTGCGAATCAGCAAATGAGACAGCCAGAATTGCTCACCCCTGGCCTGCATCTGCCAGCACTTCTAACCCGGGATAAGAACAGCGTCTCTGGAGCCTGAGATATGCAATTTTGAGGCTTGGCATTTGTTAGTTGGCGAGTTGTCTCACCTCTGAGCCTCAGTTTCCACCTCTTTCAAGCCAGGATGCCAGAGGAAGCAATGAACTGAAAGCGCACGGTCCAGAGGAGGATCTCATACCCGAGAGCACCGCCGTCCTCTCTGGCTGCACCAGCCTTCCGCTGGCAACCAGTCAGGTGGCATCAGGAGCCAAATGCCCAACACCATAGAAATTGTGTCGGTGGTCCACTCATGGTTCAGCTGTTCTGCCTGGAAAACAATGCACTGTGCCCCTTGTATTCTCACCATGGAGGGCATCCCTTAGTCACACAGTACAACAGCTAGAGGTACCTTGGATTTGACTCTGCAACACCCTTGCAGTATGACCTTGGGCCCATCACTTCAATTGCTCTCCCTGGACTTCATGAAGTAAGAGGATAGACTAGGAGACTTTTTTTCTTTTATTTCTTTTTTTCGAGACAAATTCTCATGTAGCCCAGGCTGGCTTCAAACCCACCATGTAGCCAAAGATGGCCTTGAACTTCTGATCCTCCAGCCTCCACTTTCCAAGTCCTGGGATTATAGGTGAATGCTACCACATCCAGTCGTGACTGGGGGCACTTCTAATGGCCTCGTAAGGGCCAACCAATATGTAGTACTTACTAGCGTGTGGTAATCCCAGAGCCATGATGGTGTAAGATGAGAAACCAACCCAGCTGCCACACCCAATTGGCCACAGGTCATGAAAGCAGCAGGCTAAGGACACTCAGGGCAAAGGCAAGAAGGCTGGTTCTGGAATCAGACCCTGCTCAACTCCTTAAGGCGCTTCTGTCTGACCTGGGGTGAGTCACTCAGCCACCTGTGTACTAGGATTAAGGGAACCTGCTAAGGTTCAGTTAATGAGATGCTGCATTTAAAGCACTGGGCCAAGTATACAGTGACTGCTCAGGGAAGGTCCACTCTTCCTCCCTCTCCCCTTTTCTGCCCAAGCTTCTTCTTCCTCCTTCCATTCATGGCATGCACTTGTGTGTGTATACATGTGGAGGCCACAGGTCAACCTTAAGCGTTGCTCCTAGGAGGTGTTTGCATTATTTTTGAGACAGGGTCTCTCACTGGGGCCTGGAGCTTGCCAAGTAGGCTAGGCTGGCTGGCCAGTGGGCCCCAAGGAGCTGTTTGCCTCCTGGCTCTGGGATTACAAGAATGTGCCACTATGTCAGCTTTTTATGTGGGTGTTGGGGATTGGTCCTCATGCTTGGTGGTAAGCACTTCAATGACTCGGCCATCTCCCCAGCTTCTTCATCCTTAAAATGGGCATAAAATAATCTTTCTCTAGGCAAGGCATAGTACAGGTGTGCTCCCGAAGTTCATGAGCATTAACTTGCTTCTCAGTATCCACTGAAGCTTAGATTTCACAGCATCTCTTCATCTATGCATCAATTAAAGCCTGCACAGAGGGAGTCAGGATCAGCAGTGTCCTGACTCAACACTTAAACGCTCTTACTCCCTGGAAAAAAGCACAGGACATGCCTGCCCAGTTACCACTCATGATCCCGGGGTTTAGCAGAGCCCCTGGCTTATGGGAGACCATCTCCCTGCCTTACACTCAGAGCCAGAGGCAGCTTACTCAAATAGGAATGCCGGGATGCTGTACAAAGGGTGAGCTGGTCCCCAGGTTCTCCCAGAAGCACTTAAGAATTACTGGAATCTGGGGCTGGAAAGATGGCTCAGTGGTTAAGAACAATAGCTGTTCTTGCAGAACCCGGGTTCAAATCCCAGCACCCACATGGCTGCTAACAACTGTAACTCCAGTTCCAGGGGATCTGATGCCCTCTTCTGACCTCTGCAGGCATTGCACGACACAGGTACACTTATACACATGCAGGTAATACACTCACACACATAAAATTTTTAAAAATTGGGGCTGGAGGGATGGCTCAGTGGTTAAGAACACTGGTTGTTCTTACAGAAGATCTGGGTTTGAATCCCAGCACCCACATGGCAGCTAACACTGTCTTAACTCCACTTCTAGGGGATCTGACAGCCTCTGTTGTGCAGGCATTACACAACATGGGTGCACTTACCTATATGCAGGCAATACATGCATATACATAAGATAAAAATAATAAAATATTTTAAAATAATTTTAAAAAATAAAAAAGAATTGCTGAAATCCAACCATGACTGCAAGATGTGCTAAGGGCTTGCCTGTGTGAGGTACAAGGCTGTCAGGATAAAAAGGAATAGGTGTGGGTATAATCAGTGCACCTACTGACTACATTGTCATTCTGGAAAATTCAAGGGAACTTCATATATGACTCTTACAAACATTAGAGAAGTTTTGGTTCAGTGCCTATCTCTCCTAAGAATCTATGAAGAACTTCACAGAGGTACTTGGGACTAGTGAGATAGATGGCTCAGTGGATAAAGGTGCTTGTCCAGGGGTCTGCTAACCTGAGGTCCACCCCCAGGAACCACATAGTGGAAGAAAGAGAATCAATTCCCACAAGTTGGCTTCTGACCTCCACATATGCACCATACCCCACCCTCCACAATAAATAAATATATGTAAATACTTTTTTTAAGCTTAAAAATATGAGTACTTATCAGAATGTCTTTTGCAGGGGAAAAAAAAATAACAGTCTACATGTTTGGTTACAATTAAGTCAATCAGAATCCAGCCACTTCTGTGAGATCTGAGCTTCAGAAAACTATTAGAACAGCCTGGTATAGTGACCCACACCTTTAGTCCCAACACTCAGGAGGCAGAGGCAGATGGATCTCTGTGAGTTCCAGGCCAGATGGGACTAAAAGGAGATCCTATCTCAAAACCGAAAACAAAACAAAACCAAAAAACTGTAAGTGCAGAGAAATGCCCACGTCCATGATAAGCAAAAAAGGTAACACAATGAAACACCATCTGTAACTCTCGGGGTTTATCAAATAATGTTTTATACGTTCCTGAGTTTTCAAGCATACATTCTTTTTACATTATGAAAAAAACCGAAACCACGAAAGGTATTGAAAACAAGGTTTAAAGTCGGTCTGCCTATTCAGTTCTTCATTTTTTAAAGTAAATCTTACATCTTTTTCTTTTAATGTATCTTTTAATGAAGAAACACATCCCACTAAGTCGAGCTTGGTGATCAAAAAAGAATCTAGTCTTGGTACCAGGTCTACACTTCTCTATAAGAAAAGCTGTTTCAGCAGGTGACTTCATGGAACTTCCCTCCTGGGCTAGTGGTTGATCCCATGACCATCAATGGCTTGTCGGGACTCAAAAGCAGCCAAAAAATTGTATAAAAAAGATTTATTGAAATTTATCAATGACAAACAGACATAAAACTCAAAGTTTGGCTCTTCTTAGGGGTGGGAGAAAAACGGGATTGAGGGTGTCGTTTTGTACAGATGAAACATGGGTCAGGGAACAGCACGTCACTTCTAAAGCAATCCAGAAGGGGGATACTAGAAGCAAACTGAACAGTCATCAAGAACTTGCAGTCACTTCAGAATCCCACTAGGTAAGAAAATACAATTTTGCATTAGTTTTTTCCGTGCTCCGGTGTATGGGGGAAAAAAGAACAAAATAAAACAAAACAAAACCAGAAACCCGGCCGACACGCAGCAACATTTCCAGTGCTTAGATTTGTAAAAATGATGTTCTAAGCCCAGAGTACAGGGATGAATCCTCCTTTCATTTCTGTAAAACAAAGCGTTCTAATATTTTACAGGACAAGATAGGACAGGTTATTTTTTTTTTTTTCTTTTAAAGTGGAAATTTAAAGGTTTGCTTTTCCTCTTTTAATTATAATCACCAAATCCATTTTTACTTGTATCCCCTAAGCCTGCCATTTTTGGCTCTTGGGCTCAGAAACTCAAGAGGAACAAGAGTATTCTCTCTGTGAGAGCAAAGCCCACCACCATCTGTGAGGGGAAAAGGGATGAGAGATGGGGAACGTCCCCAAACCAGTGCCAAAATACGCCTTTAGGTTGCTATTTACAAACCAGGGTGCGGGGTGCTGCTAGAAGAAATCACATGAACCAGAGCAAGAGTAATTATTACAGACAGGGCTGGAGCTTAGTGCCTCCTGGGCTGAGTTAGTAGATGGAGGCCGCCCATAGCCTCCTGACCAACTCTGGGGTCACGGGACATACCAGAAAATGTAAGAGACTTCCAAGCCATCCTCAGAGTAAGAACAAACGCTTGCTTGGTGTGTATTCAGATATTGCATTTACAGGGACAAAACCAGACACAAAGAAAAAGGAGGGGGAAAATAAAGAGTGGCAGTAAAAATAGTATTTTATTCCTCCCCCTCCCGCCCTCCCTCCCCCCACAACCCCCAGTACACTTTTCCCCTCTCGTTCCCACAGCAACGCTACAATCAGAAAAAAATAAGTTTCGGGGGGCAGGATTTGGAGGGGGAGGGGATGTGGGTAAAAACAGTCAAATCACAATAGGAATTTTCCAGAATTGGTTATTCCACTTAGTCATCGTCTTCACCCTCATCTTCAGGCTCTCGTTTTCGCTTCTGACCCCTCTCTTCTTCTGGAAAGGCAAAGAAAAGTCATTTTTATTAGGCAGCCTCATCACCATTTTCAGTCATCCCCCGACCAAGAACCCAAGGCGACACACTGAGGAGGCATGGCCATTTTAGAAGCAAGGCAGAGAGGTAGCTGGACCCCTAGATGGGCACTTCCTTCCACGGCCAGGTCCTCAGAGCCCGAGCAAGCCAACACAAGGTGAAGGGGCCAGGCTGCTACCAGTAGGGAGCAAAAAGGTTGCCATACCACCAGCATCCTCTTCATCTTCTTCATCATCCACTTCTCCATCGTTGTAACCTTCTTCATCCTCCTAAGAGAAAAAGATGGGACAGTGGGTTGTTAAAATACCCATGTTGGGGCTGGGAAGATGGCTTAGTGGGTAAAGTGCTTGCTGTACAATCATGAAGACTCAAATTTGTTCTTTAGCACCTACACAAAAGCTGGGTGCTACTGCAGGCATCTGTAACCCCAGCACTGTGGAGGTGGAGACAGGTAGATCCCTGGAGCTCAGTCTAAGTAAATCAATGGGCTCTGGTTTCAGTGAGAGATCTTGTCTCAAAAAATAAGGTGGAAAGTGATTGAGAAATACATATATCGATTTCTGGTCTCCACACATGCAGACAGACAGACAGACAAGACAGACAGATACACACATACAACACATATAAATGAATAATAATAATAAAAGAAATACCCCTGCTTAAGAAAGTCTTGCCTCTCACCCCTACACTCACACCACCGCCTCCCACACATTCACACAGGAGTTCTTACTGTTTTATATTAAGGATCCATTTGAGAATCAGAAAGTTTAAACTTCTGCCCCAGACATTTTCCATATCATTTACAGTATTGGCAAACAGTCTTGGGGGAAGCAGGTATTTGTGGGTAGCCCCAGGTTAGGAACTCCATTCAGATGTTAAGTCCCTAGAACCCAGGCAGCTTGCCAGTGTGCAGGCTTTTTGGCGAGCAGGCTCCCCAGGTGGACACCCTGCCATGAAAAGTGAAAAGTAGGCCATCCTTTCTTGCATCTGTCCTCAATCTGGTTTTGGCTTCAAGGGAAGACCCCACTTTTAGAAAATCCAGAATTGAGTGGGTGAATCCAACTCTCCTCTCCTAGGCACCTCATCCTGCAAGTCTGGGTCACTTGCACGGGAGGAAGGGGAAGATAATTCGAGGACCTTGTTCTCAACTTGCTTGGGATTCAGTCAGGCCTGTGACTTCATCCTCCACCAAGGGCCCTTGCTCTGTACCCGGATGAACTGTGACCCGGTAGGTAGATCTAAGTCAAATAAACCCTTTCCTCCCCAAGTTGGTATTGATTAGAATGTTTTGTTACAGCAATTGAAAGCAAACTAGAACAGATGGCTTAGTCAGGTAAGGGTGCTTGATGGTGAACCTGAAAACCTGAGTTCAATTCCCAGAACCCACATGATAAAAAAAGAGAAACAGCTCCCAGAAGTTGTCTTCACCTTCACATGCATGCTGTGACATATGCACAAACATGCACACATGACAGATTAAAAAAAAATCACATACATAAAAAGGAATCAGTTAATCCATTAGGGTAATAGCCCACTCCTGATGCATTCATTCACTGCTTCAGTGGGGTACAGGTGACCCCTACCCCTGATTTGGGACCAAGCATTGTCCTGCTTGTCCGTTCTAAGCTGAGTTTTCCCCCTGCATACTGTTTTAAGTAACCTTCAACTTCTGATCCTCCTACTTCTACTTCCCAAGTGCTGAGATTACAGGTCTCTGCCACCAGGCCCAGTTTATGTGCTGCTGGGGAGAGAATCAGGGCTTTAGGTATGTTCGACAAGCACTCTACCAACTGAGCTACATCACCAGCCCATTGGGGTCATAATGAACATCTGAATGTAAAACAGAAGAAAATGGAAGATAGGAATTCCATGCTTTTCAAAGAACTGATTTCACAGAAACAAGACTAAGCTTCCCCAGGAGCAGGTTGAGTCCTTATCTTCAGAATCTTCTTCTCTACTCTGAAACCAGCTTCCCCAGGACTTTCTGTGTCCTGCGCTAGGATCAGGACCACAACCAAAGTCCTTAGGCTGCCATAGCTGATAATGGAGGCTCCACAGGACTTAGGCATCAAGTGAGGGGAACTGGGAGACGCTCCAGTGCCCAGCCCCATCTCCTTACCTCCTCCTCTCCACTCACGTCCTCTTCCTCCCCTTCTTCTTCCTCATCCTCATCTTCTTCGTCTTCCACTAACTGAGCATAGTCATCATACTCCCCCTCTGTGCAGGGGGGACGGGAAACAAGAACAGAATTGGAGGTGAGCTGGCAGATGGACCCACAACCATCTCATCTCCACAAAGTCCCAAGTCTGAATGCTCTAACTCACAAAAGCAATGTGCACATGATCAACCACATCCCAAAGTAACCCGGGGTTATAAGCCCTCCTCCAAGTTACATGGGAAGATTCCAGGTGTGGGCTTAGGGCACAGAGACATTGTAGGTCTGAGCATGAAGCTCTGGGCCTGGGAAAGCAGAGAAGCCAAGTACTCATAAGAGCATGTGGGCCAAACTCCTCCCTCTAGAGGAGTAACCACAAGGTCACACAAGGAACTGGACAGGGGTCTGGGACTTGGCCTAGAAATTGCACCACAGACCTCTACTACATACCAGAGCACCACACTGTGTCTCTGACAGAGAGAAACTTGCAATCTGTTGGGAAATGGACCTCCACCAAAGCAAAGAGGATATCTGAACATCTCACAGAATCCCCCAGACCAACAAGGAAAACCAAAATCAAATCTTACATCTGAATGGACAGGGCACTATCTGGGTTCTCATCTTTGCTTAAGTTGTGGATACATAGGGAAGCTGTAGGGGCCAGTGGGAAGGAATCAGAGGGAACACTAGACTTTCCTTCCTTCCTGAGGGCTCTGACACGGCCTACCAGACCCCAACTGCCCAGCCTGGGACCCCTGAGCAGCCTAGTACTGGCCTGCGACCTTGCAACCACTAGGGGGCCCCACAGCCTCTCCAGCTGAAGACCTGGTCTCCATGGAGGATAACCAGGCAGAGAAAGAGGTCCTCAGAACATATCCCCTTCTACTGTTCACTCTATGGAGATACACCATAGTCATTCCCTGGGAGTCTTCAAAAGATACACTATAAGGGATAACTGTTGGATTATTTTAAAGGAGCTACCATGCAACTGGCAAGTCTCTGGGGTTGTCCTTTTCTTTTAGAGGAGACAACCAATGAAAATGATGGGGGACTGAGGAGATGAAGCAGTAGACAGGCAGGCACCCCAGCCAACTAGTCTATTCAAGATGAGCCCCCACAGCCCTGGGCTCCCTCTGACACCCACCATCCTCGTCCTCATCATCATCCAGGCCTTCCACATAGCCCTCAGCATCAGAGTCAGAGGCCTCCTTGTTGTCCCGGTCATAGCCATCGAGATACGTGACCTGGGGGAGGAGCTTGAACACGTTTTCTCGGTAGTCGTTCAGGTTGGTTACCTCACAGTTGAACAGGTCTAAGCTCTTGAGGTTCTCTAACTTTTTCTGCAATTGGAAAAAGACAGTCAACACCTAGGATTGGTAACAGAGACCATCATTCTGACCAAGATTCCTCTTCTTACCTAGAAAGTGAATGAACCAATCAGAAGTGCCCCCATATCTCTGAGGCCCTGGTCACTACCAGACCAGGGATACTTCTCTACATATGCAAAGGCCTACACCTGGTACCCTCTGTGCTCAGGTCCATCCTCCCAGGGTACTGTGCCAGCATGAACACCTAACCCACATCCACTAGCCTTGGCCAGCAACTCCTGGGAAAAAGCTGGGGACCGTCCAGCTCCAAAGTCAGCTTAGCTATGGGAATGTTCCTCTCTCTAAAAAGTGAGGCAGGCCAGCCAGGCTCTGAGCCTGGATGTATTACAATGCAGGCTTCCAGAGCTGAGTTGGACCCCAGGACGCTCCAGACTAGGGCCCATTCTCCACTTCATGCTGGCTGCCCATTCCGGTCAGGTGACTGTGATCAAACCCTGAATTTCTTGGAGCCTCAGTTTCTCCATGGACTGAACAGAAATAGTAGTTCCCATCTTAGCTCACAGCATAGAATGAGTCAAAGAAATGGAAATGAGGGAAAACAAGCCCAAAACACAAATGTGAAACTAGAGTCCCCTACCCCATTCCCCGCTGCCCCCAAGGAGAGGGGAGGACCCCGAGTGACTCACCAGTGGCTCTATTGTGCTGAGGTCTTTTATTTTGTTGCCACTTAAGTTTAGATGCGTTAGGTTCGGACACTTTTCTGCCAATACTTCCAGGCCCCCTGAGATTCTGTTATCGCTTAGTTCAAGCTAAACGAGACAGGGAGAAAAGCAGCAGCATTTAACATGGAGCCTCTGGGCCCAGAGTCTGCCTCCCAGCTCTCCCCACACAGCAGGAAAGGAACGTCCTTTGGGAACTGCCTGGCATGTCAAAGCCTACACCTGGCCTTACCCTCAATTATGCTCCCTGAGCACAAAGTACAACCCCAACCCCTCCCAACATCCATGCTGTTTACCTTCTTGAGTTTGTTTAACTTTGGTAAGTTCGCAATAGAGGTGAGGCCTACATTGATTGTACTTAGGAATTCCAGTTCTTCAAACTCATCTGTGAGGCCCTTGATTTTGCCTTCAGTTGACCGACAGTTGTCCAGGACAAGCTCCTTCACCTAGGAAGGGAAGGGTGTCATGAGTGGGAGTGGAGAAGGGCCAGGGAAGCCCACTCGGGGGAGAGGAGACATGCACAAAATGCCACTTCTTCCAGCTCTTCCAGACCAGAGCTGCTGCGGAATGCAGGGTGCCGGCCAACCTTGGTCTTTCTGCTGTCAGCAGAACTGAGGCAGGGGAATGTGGGGCGAGCACACCTGCAGAGCTGGGAAGTCACTCTGGAGAGCACAGCCAGGATGCTCTCCCACTACTGAGGTTGTGGGAGAGGGTTCTTACTGCAGCCTCCTGCCACATGCTCTTCAACCCCAATGTACAATGATCACAGCCCCTGCTCCCCCAGGGCACCAGCCACAGCACTGTCAGCCTGGCATCCAGGCCTACAAATGCCCCAGCTGGACCACCCACTGGAGGCAGGCTACTCACTTCCCATGCCCCGCCCCCACCTTCTCCCTCTGCAGTCCATAGCTCTCTACTCATGGCTTTCACAAGGCATGCTCGTGCTCACTCTCGCTCTAACTCCTTCCTTCAGCCTCGACCTGCCCACTGACGCCTGGCTCTCAACAGTGCGGTTATGTACTCAGCCTGCCATACCGTAGGGAAAGTAGACCAGAACCTCTGCCCCCTTTCAAAGCCCAGACAATGCTGTCCAGCACTAGTTCTCAGCGTGAACTCTCCAAGAGCAGAGCCACAAGTCACGTGTGGTCCTGAGCAATTGTGACAAGGATGGCAAGCCTGAGGAACTGAGCCTTTGGTATTATTTAATCTTTAAAAGTTTATGTTTACACAGTGGGGGCTACAGGGAGACCCTGTCTCAAAAAGACCAAAGAAAAAGTTTATGTTTATGTGTACATATTTGTCTGATGTATGTATGTGCACCACATGCATGTAGGCTCTTCCAGAGGCCAGAAGAGGGTGTCAGATCCCTTGAAACTAGAGTTACATATAGGCAATTGTAAACTGCCATATGGGTGCTGGTAACTGAACCCAGGTCCCCTGCAAGAGCAGCAAATGCTCTTAACCACTGAGCCATCTCTCCAGTCGGTGTTCTTCAGTTTTAAATGTAGAGATGCGAGGCACTTTTGCTGGACATCCCAACTCATGCATGTGTTCCTCAGCCCCTGGCCGCAGATGCAGAAGAGGAAATGAATACTCCTAAGATGTTTCAGTGCGGGCTGACAAGGCCCTAGGGACAACTCTGGAGGCATTCCTGTGAGCCTGGGTATCCTCACCCATTCCCTGTTCCGATGAGTCCTTCATTCCTGATGGGGTGGAATGAAACAGTAAAAGCCACTCTGATGGTTCAGAAGCCAACTTCACAGCAGAGGATCCGCTGGCTCCAGTAAATGCAGCACATGGATGACAGGCCAGAGGAAGGCCAGTGGGGCTCCAGCACATCACAAATAGTCTTAAGGAGTTGGCAGGGAGACCAGGGTGCCTCTAGGCAAGGCAGGAGCTTGAGAAACCCAGGCCCTCAGGGCTAGAAGTAATCTTTATTACTTGGTGGTGCTGGATCTGAGCTTAGGACTTCCTATGTGCTATGTAAGCACTCTCTCACTAGCTGTATCCCTATTCCATTTTATTATTTTATTTTATTTATTTAATTTATTTATTTCCTGTTCCTTTTTACTGTTGACAGTGTCTAAGTTGCCCAAGTTGGTCCTGAACTCACTCTTGTAGCTCAAACAGGGTTTGAATTTCTAATCCTCCTGACTCACCTCTAAAGTAGGTGGGATTACAGACCTATGCCACCAGGTTTGGCTAGAGGGCATCTTAAAGGAGCTGGCCTCTCTCAATGGCACCCAGGACCTGAGTGAGTCCACTAGCCCAATACACTGCATCCAACTGGCCTTCGCCCTGCAGCCTTCTGGAAAGCTGAGAAGATGCTGACTGGAATTTATTGTTTCTCTTCCTCTTGAGACTTCACTGTGGATTCAGGGTCACATAGGCCTACATGGCTTCTGGGTTCACTTCTGCCCTCTGAGCCTTTCCTTCTTAGGTAACAGCCCTCTAACCAGGCCCTGTCTAGGAGCGCTCTCTCCTCTAAGCAAATGACCCTGCCTAGTTCCTTTTTACTGGAAGAAGGGCTTCCTTTGGTTTTCCAGTGGCCCCTCTTACTTATTAGGCAGTCTACAGGGTAGTGGTTGGACAAAGCCAACTCTAGGCTACTGGGCAGAACAAAAACAAAGGGGCAGCTGGGTCTCAGAGCCCTGCCTTCACTCTTCCCTGTGACAGAGGCAGTGCTCCATGTAGGAGAGCACAACAGCAACTTGTGGGTTCCACCTGGCAGAACCCACAGGGGGAAGGAACGTCAGACACACTGGCTCTCTCTGAATTCCCAACCTCTAACCCTGTGCCCTGGTCATGACTCACCTTCCTGATAGATCTGGGAGTCGAGGAAGTTTAGTCTGAGAGGCCAGACAGGTCAAGCCACCTTTGAAAGATCACTTGGTAAAAGTAACCAAGAATAAATCCTCTGCCCTGGGGCAGGAAAAGTGTAGATCTAAGAAGCCAGGTTACAGGTAACAGGCAGATGGGGGAGAGTAGCTCTGGGCAGGAGAACATCTCCATCATGTGTAGTAAAGGCTGGACTCCTGAGGCCCAGGCTTCTTCAGCAACTAGTTTCCTGGGAATTCCTGGCTCCATCAAAAGATTTTAGACACGGGGTTTTTCTAGACCAGTCAAAAGGCTTTTCCTCTTATTGCTATTAGCCAAGTTCCCTTGAGGATGGGGGAAGCAGTGTTGGGCAGTCAAGGGAATTCCTTCGGAAGCTGCTTCTTTCCTGGAGAAGCCCAGTGTTGCCCCCACCCACGTGTGCTGCCTAGCATTTTTACTAACAGACAAGACATCTAGCTTGGGATTGGTGACCAGGCCAGTCCCCATCTCTCTGCACTATTCCCAAACTAGGGGTTATTTCTCTTTGGGACACTGTGCAAGTCACCACAGCTACTGTTTTCATGAACAAATAATCAGTTTTCTGGGTTTTCCCCCTCAGCAGGCACATTTTAAGTAATTCACACACACTCATTTTACCACCCTAAGTACATCATAGAGGGGATTCTCTACACTTATAGCCACATCAGAAATCCCTATCTTGGGCTAGGGATATGGTTCAGTTGATAGGGTGCTTGTCCAGCATGCAGGAAGTCCTGGGTTCAATCCCTAGCACCACATGAATCAGGTGTGTTCAAGGTCATCCATAGCAAGTTTGAGTCCAGCATGGACTACAGGAGACTGTCAGAAAGAAAGGAGGGGGAGGAAAGAAGAATCAATGCCTGTCCTAGGACCCAGTACAGTCACAGCAGGGATCTGCCTGACAAAGCGGCCAGCATTGGCCACACGTATTGGTGTACAGGGTTCCATGGAACATCTCTGACATTCCCAAGCATGGGGAGGCCCTCCCAGCCCTCTTTTTAAATGTTCCACGAGCTAGGTGCCAGCCACTTCCATCTCCTCAGTAGCCAAAGTATAGAGTCCAACCTGACCCTGACTCAGATGGCTGTGCCCATCTCCCAGAGGGCCATGGGCCCCCAAATAGTGGGAGCTGCTTCTGCTCCCTCTGGGAGACTCTTGGTGGGCATTCCCAAACCCCTTTATTTCAGCATTTCTTTCCTACCCTGAAGGCGGGGGGGGGGGGGGGGG